GGTGTCTTTTGTGGGAAGGGGAAGGGAAAGGAGTTTGTAAGCCGTTCTGAGACTCCAAGTGAAAGGCAGGGTATAAATCCAATCTCTTCTTCTTGTTGTTTTCCTCCGAGGAAACTCTGGCCAGCACATGTGGGGCTAATCTCATATTATCCTCACAACAACCTAGACAGGCTAGTCTGGGAGATACTGACTGCTCCAAGTCTACATCAGAAGCTTCATGGCTCATCAGGGATTAAAATATTTATTAATTTTTACCATGCCTTTCTCCCCAATGGGGATCCATCATTCTACTCTCCTCCATTTTATTCTCACAACAACCCTGTGAAGTAGGTTAGGCTGAGTGTGCGTTTGGCCCAAGGCATCCCAGCAAGCTTCCTTGGCAGACTGGGTGTCAGAATCTAGGGTCAGTCCAAGCCAAATTCCAGGGTCAAAGTCAAAGTTCAATCCAAAGGTCAGTTACCAAGAGAGCAGAGTCCAGTTCAGAGCATTATACAGGAAGCAAGGTCCAACTGTCCGAGGTCATGCACGAATGCAGGGAGGAAGATTCCAGAGTCAGGGTCAAGAGCCAGTTCAAGGGTTGCAGGAACAGAGCAGAGTTCAGAACTGGGGTCGCTGAGTCAAGAGGTTGGTGACCTGTTGCTTCCACATTGATCAGTCTCCCTTGACTGGCTTTTTAAGGCCTCTGTTGGAAGGTCTTACTTGCAGCCAGCTGCTTGGAAGTATCCCTGCAGCCAATGCTCCCTCTAAGCTGTGGAGTCTTGTGAGCAAAAATTCTACTTTGTCAGCTACTGGCATTAAAGTTGTGAGTGAGCGATTTGGCTCCTGCATAAATCAGTTTGCTCTGCAGCCATCCTTCCTGAGCGAAGACAAACATACGTGAGCTGGCTCACATTAACTCAGCTTAGAGGGAACACTGCCTGCAGCTACTCATCATCAGCAAGCAGCTGGTTGCCATTAAGGGCCAGGAGACTTGCACTTTGTCTTCGTTCCTGAAGCTCCATTCTAAGCCTTCATCTCCAGTGCTCCAAGGGTGTGGGTTTCCTCTGTTGGAATGGGGCTGGAAGGTGCTGATGTCTCTGCATCAGCTATCAGCTGTGAATGCTGAGAAGCCTGCAGCTCATCTTCTTGCTTGCCCGTTGCTTCTGGTTCAGAGCTGATTTCATGAGGCTCTTCTCCTAAGGAGTCCTCGCTGTTGCTGAGTCCTGGCTGACCCACAACAGTGGGGATCTGAAAGTGGGTCTTCCAGATCCTAGTCTGACACTAACCACTGTACCATACTGGTTGTCAGTACAGGTCTTTGCAGTCTATATGAAGCTGCTCTATATACTGTTGTCTTGTATACCGGACCTGGTGTTGTTGACTCTGATTGGCAGCAAGGAAAATCCTTACTGGAGGGAGATGAACTGGAAGGGACATTATAGCTTACACAGAGAGAGGGGGAAGTTTGTCATGTAAGTGTTTCACACTGTGACTCACAAAGATAAATATTAGTAGGTAGCAGTGGAAGAACCAAGCAGAATTGAACCATAAGCAAGAAGCTTACTTATTAAAGTGTAATAGAAAGCGGTAAGACAACGAATTCAATAAAAGCAGGGAATAAATACATCAATAAAAATACATGAGGAGGAGACTGGTACTTTGAGTTTTCTCTGCATTGACTCGTGTACTCTCTCTTTTCATGTTGACCGTGTTGCACATCCCTGTACTTGTGTGGGATGAATAGGGTTGTGCCCAATACCTTCAAACTGTATAGTAAATTTCCATTCACTGTTATATTTTTGCTTATATTCACATAAAACATTTTAATCCCACTCTTTGACTTTAACTAGGTCCACAAAGCAGCTACCCTCAGTTCAAATCGGAAACACAGCATCAACCAATCACACCCAAAAGCAATCCAGTAAAAACTCAGCAACAAAATATTGAAACAGTAACCTCAGCAGTGAGTCCTGGCCACTACAGAACTAATACCACTGTTTTCGCTTGCCTCCTTAATGGCAGCACTGGGGGGCCATAGTAGCATTCCCCAGGGAAAGTGTTCCATAACCTTGGTGCCACCACCAAAAAGATCCCGTCTCGCCTGGCCACCCACCATGCCTCTTAGCAGTGGGAGCAAGTGTAACAAGCCCCTGAAGATCACTAAACATTCAGTAAGTTCATATGAGAGGAGGAAGCAGTCCTTGATGAACCCTGTCCCTGATCATTTAGTACAGGAGTCCCCATGGGCGCTGTGGTGTCCATCAACACTTTGTCTGGAGCCAGCCAAGTGTTTTTAGGAAGTGGATGGGGCCACGTAGGGCTTTCGCCCAACAAGGCTTCTGATTGGCTGTGCAGATTTTTTAAAATGTTGGTTTGGCAGCTGGTGCCACCACAGCACAAGGGTCTGCGCTGTGTTACTGAAGTTAAGTTGTGGCAATCATTTTTGTGGCTGGCTCCGCCTCCTGCGGCAGCCATTTTGTTTTTTGCTGATTGTGTGGAGGGCAGTCATGATCCACCATAACCCTCTTTTGCAGGCTCTCCAGAGGCTGCGGTTTCCCACTACCAGAAGGCCATCCAGCTTAGCCCCAGTCACTACGTGGCCATGGTGAACCTGGGCAGGCTTTACCGCTCATTGGGGCAGAACAAGGACGCTGAGGCATGGTACAAACGGTAAGGAAAGCAGGAAGAGAGAAGTCCGGCTCTTCCCTTCCGCAGAATGCTGACAGTCTTTTTGTCAAACAGCCCACCCCACCCAGATCCTGAATTTATTTCAGGAAAAATGCAAATTATGGTTCTCTGGATGAATTATGCAAACCACCACTTTATACATATTTTATTCTTTTATTGCAGTTGGAAGTGTTTTGAATTTTTTTTTTTGGCTGACATTCAGGATATTTTGGTAGGAGCTATAGGGAAGCAACAACACAAGACAAATACATGCCAAGGAAAGGGATAGTGGAAGGGCACGATGGATGATGAGAGCAAAGAGCAGAGAGTCATTTAAGGGCATGAAAGATGCCCCCCCCTTTCACCCGCTAAAAGCCCATACACCTGTGACTGCTTTTGTGTCAGATCCTTCTGCAGGTGCCATTAAATTCACACCATTTGCTTTCTCACCTCCACTTCTTTCTGTTTTGGCTGCCATTCTTTCAGGGCGCTGAAAGTGGCACGGAATGCTGAAATCCTGTCGCCCCTTGGAGCTCTGTATTACAACACGGGGCGCTACGAAGATGCGCTGAAGGTTTACAGGGAAGCCGCAGCCCTGCAGCCATCCAACAGGGAGACCCGGCTGGCCTTGGTGAGTGTGTGAGCAGAACAGTCATAAAGGGCCTCCAAAGGCTTGAGAGGTGTGACTTTGCTACTCCCTCATTCTGTGTCAAAGACATGTATCTCTCTCTCTCTCCCTCTCTGGTTTTTCCAATTCAATTTATTATGGGTCTATATGACCGAAGTCTTGACCAACAGAGAATGCAAAAGGGGTAAAATAGGTACATAAAATTGACATAAAATATGACAAGTACATAGTCACAATCAGTAAACATATAAAACCCAGGCATAGCCCAGAGAATTAAAAGAACCTAACTACACTTGGGACGGAGTTTTTTTTTTCCTTGGAAGCTGCTGTCGCTAAAAGGCTCTGAAATACCGTACCTGCCAGTGCAAGTTTAAGGGCCGTTATCTTTTTATGGCCATGCTCAACGGTTCCAGATGCTGCCTGTCAGTTCATGCTTGTCCTTGAATTTTTCAGGCTTGAATCAGATTACTTTTGCACCTCACATCAAAAAAGATGATCACAGGTCAGCCTCTAGTTCAGTGGAAAAGATAGCTGCATTGGGGGGGGGGACCTCAGGCTTCCTAGCAAGAAGCGAATGTCTCACTTATTTTTAAAGCCATCTGTTTCTTTTGTCCCCTGTTGTTTTGCCTATGAGACAAAAACATACTGTGAAGATTAGGGGGGGGTGTACACAGACAATGTTCAAACTCAATCCAAGTTCCCTTTATCGTTTTTGAAACTAGTCAGAGATGCTTACTGAAATATAATCGCATAAAGTGAGGTTGGTATCTTCTGTACAACAAGCTTAAGCACACCTCAGGCATCCTGACCTGCTTTGATGCAACGGAATGATCTTCTTCGTGGTCTCTGTGCATCACACCCTTGGGATACTCTGCGCCTGCGCTGACCTTCTCGGTATCGATAGCTAGCAAAAGGGATTTTCGCGCCTCTCCCAGGTCACGCGCCGGCTCCACTGCGCATGACCAAGGAGGGGCACGCAGATCCCGCCAGTTCTCTTCTGACCGCCGCGCTGGTAGGACGCCTTCTGCCTCGGTCTGCTAAGTACCAACTTTTTTTGCTAAACTTGCGTTTAGTTAGTTTCTCTTTCTTTATTTTTGTAGTTAGCATTTTTCTTTCGGTGTTTATTCTTTATTTTCGTTCCCCTCCCGCTGGCCTATGGCCCCGCGGTGGGGTTGTTTCAAACGGTGTAGGACTTGCGGCCTTAAAATATCCCCCACCGACGGGCACTCGCTTTGCCTCGTTTGTTTAGGGGAGTCGCACTCTGGTGATCTTCGAGTGGTCATCTGTGCATTCACACCACCCGCCCTCCTTCCCCTCTGCTCTCGGCCCTTCATCTTGTTTCTTGAAGGCTGTTGGGCGGCGGTCAGAAGGAACTGGCGGGATCTGCGTGCCCCTCCTTGGTCATGCGCAGTGGAGCCGGCGCGTGACCTGGGAGAGGCGCGAAAATCCCTTTTGCTAGCTATCGATACCGAGAAGGTCAGCGCAGGCGCAGAGTATCCCAAGGGTGTGAATGCACAGATGACCACTCGAAGATCACCAGTTACAGGTAAGCAACCTGTCTTTCACGGGTATTCTAACTGCTCAACAGGAAGGTTGGGGGCACCTTATATTTGTTTTTGGTTTTTGTAGGCTCAGGTTTTGGCAATGATGGGACAGACGAAGGAGGCGGAAAAAATGACCAATCATATTGTGACTGAGGAGGCTGAATGCCTGGAGTGCTACCGCCTTTTATCAGCCATCTACAGCAAGCAGGAGAACTACAACAAGGTACAGATGCTGTTGTGACAGGGAAGTTCCCGGTTCATGCACTTGATGGGGGAGCAGCACTTTGTACAGCTTGAGGTGGTCCCCCAAAGCTACGTGTTTCATGTGGTTTGTGCACATATTGTAGCATGTATTGTGGCTAGATTAGTTAAAGCAGAAATATCTGGTAAGACGACAGGTGAAGCGGAGGGGGGGGTGAGAGGCTTCCCACAAGTCCTTGCAGGTTCCCACTTGTTCAGCATCTCCCACCCCCCAGGTGTTGAGCACACATGCCATCTTCATGCTGTTAGCTGACCACTGTGTTCAAAGCAAAATTTAGTATATGGGTTTTGAAATATAAAACCCTAATTTAGGCTGCCTTCTCCATGACACTTTCCTGGGAACAAGTCCCATTGAATGAAAGGGGACAGTTCTGAGTAGACCTTCTTAGACATGTTCCCTTAGGCTTACAAATAAGCCCTCAAAAGCCGCTAGACGGTGACTGTGTTTGACATCAAATGCATAAAAGAAACAGCTCTTTTTCTGGTGTAGTGCTTGTTGGGGTTTTAGATTCCTGAAAATGTAAGAGCTTGTTCTTTCTTAAAAGCAGTCCTGAAAACAAATCTGTGTTTAGCCTCAGAAACCATAGGGAGCCTTTAGATGGTGAGTCTAGTAGGTTTATAATCCCAGAGGGGTCTCCCTGGCCCTAGAGAGATCCCGGCTGTCCTCGACCAGGGCCAGGGCCTTTTCAGTCCTGGCCCCAACCTGGTGGAACTCTCTGCCAAATAACACCAGGGCCCTGCGGGATCTTATGCAGTTCCACAGGGCCTGTAAGGCAGAGGTGTTCCACCGGGCATTCGGTTGAGGACGACAACGGTTAACATCATGGCTGGCACCCTACCTGGACCCTTACTCCTTATAGAACTTACTCCCCCCGAACGTGTGAAGCACTCACGTACCAGATATGGTAGGGAGCTACAAAATTTCATCACTTGCTTTTAAGTACTGTGTGTTGTTGGACTTGGTTTTTAATTTTTAATTTTTATTTATTTTAATTTTATTTATTTGTTGGATTTCTATACCGCCCTCCCAAAGGCTCAGGGCGGTTCACAGGCGGCAAAGCCGGAATCTAAAATACAATAAAACATACAATAAATTACAATATTTAACCCCAAAAACCATCCTATAAGACGGTGCTATATTTTTATGCTTTTAGAACTTTTGTACATCGCCTAAAGCCCCACAATTGTGGGGACAGGCAATTAATAAATGGAATGAAATAAATAAGTGAAAACTGTTGCAGCAAAAATAAATAGGACTCTTGTGGCACCTTAAGGATGTAAGAAGAGCCCTGCTGGATCAGACCAGTGGTCCATCTAGTCCAGCATCCTGTCCCACACAGTGGCCAGCCAGTTGCCCTAGAAGGCCAGCGAGAGGGTGTAGAGGCTGAGGCCTTCCCCCGGATGTTGCCTCCGGGCCCTGGTAATTGGAGATTTACTGCCTCTGAATGTGGAGGCTCCATATAGTCACCTTGGCTAGTAGCCACTGATTGCAGCCAACTTAAAGGCGAACTTTTTTTCTAGCATAAACTTTTGTGGACTGGACACCCCCCCTTCAGATGCAGTGAGTAGGGATCCTCACTGATTGTATCTGAAGAAGTGGGCTCTAATCCACAAAAGATATGCTGGAAAAAAGTGTTGGTCTTTAAGGTGCCACAAGACTTTTGTTTACAATAGGCCTTATGCCCTTCTAAATTCAGTCCAATTCTCTGTTCCCTCTTATAATTTATTTATTTATAATATATGTACCTTCATTCTCCACATAACTATCTGCAGTGTGGCTTACGACAATAAGAATTTTTTTTAAAAAAAAAAATATAAAACGACAGAATAAAAGAACAAAAAAAGCAGCAAAAATGGTGGAAAAGGGCAATTCCTTTAAAACAGCTTCAGATGTAGACTTTAGGAAATCCTAAAACAGGCAACATAATGCTAGAAATATTTTATTAAGAGAACCATGGGATTAAAAACAGGACAGTCTGATAAAACAACTGATCTCAAGAGTCACATAACTAGTTAGTGTGCCAGAGTCTCATTCATTGCCAGTATTAACCAGTAAATTGCTTCACCAGCTTAGAACGGCCACTCTTCTCCATCCGTGCTCAGTCCTAGTTCCATACCTTTTGCTCTTCCCAACCCAGTTTACCACTTCTATAAATAATATGCTTATAACGTATAAGTATCTGTCAGGGTCTGGGGGGTCCTGGGGGTCCTCCAGGGCTTGATTTGTAGCCAGCAGGCTGAGTTAGCCTCAGATAATGCAGGGGGGAGGGGGTCCATTTGCATCCAGTTCCTTCTCCCCTGCTGACAGCCCAGGTGTCACGACAGGGCCAGTGGGGCAAGACAGAGAGGGAGAGTTTACAGTCCAGTCCAAGTGTCAAGCCAGAGAGATCAAAAGTGTCCGAGCAAAACTCCCAATCACACAAAGCCAAGCTGTAGCCGAGGATCAAGAGCCAGAGGGGTCGGCAAAACGTGGACTGGAGTCAGGAACCGGGAAATCAGTCAGGAGCCAAACAGAGTTAGAGGTGCAGAGCTTCTGGTCCAACGGACAAGTTTGCCAGCACAGTTTGCTAGCAGCCAGTGGTCTGTTCAAATAGCATGCTGGGTCGTTATCTCATTAGCATGGCTTCATGAAGTCCTTGATTCTGTTAGTAAACTGGGTTTAATGATCGCCAACCTCGCAAGCGTGCCTCCTTGCTCCTGGTTGCCAAATCCCAGCATCTCTGATTCCTCAGCCGGTCAACAGGTGGCGGAGAATCGGGTGGCGTGTTGCTGGGGCCAGGCATTGCCCGATCGGCTTCAGGTGCAAACTGACCTGGGGTTTGGCGTTCATCCTCCCCGGCACTTAGGTTTGGTGAGGACTCTCGTGCTTCCGATGATGTTAAAGGCACGGAGTCCTCAGTTTCAGAGCTCCCGGGCGCCGGGTCAGGTACAGGCATGACACCAGGTGATCTCTCGGCACATGTTATGGGTCCTGGCTCTGCTGAGGCTGATTATTCCTCAGATGAGGAAGAGGCAGGGAGCAGCCCGGCCTCCTCTGGAGTCAGCCCAGAAGAGGAACCTTTGCCAGCACCTGAGGGAGAAGAGGCCCCAGCATCTGTGCAGGAGGGGCAGCAAGGCGAAGAGACTGAGGTGCAGTCAGAGGGAGAGTGGTCCAGAGCCTGGCCCAGCACCCCCAGTGGGAGACACCCCGAGGCCAGAGTCCCCACCTAGCTCACCTGAGTGTCCCAGAGGCAGGGCACGCCAGCGTCTGAATGTGCAGGAGAGAAGGAGGAGTGCCAGACTTCAGCTGCTGCAAAGGCAATGTGAGGGGCTGTGAGTCTTGGCAGATTGCCTCCCAGGGAAGGGAGGATCCGGTCATAAGCAACCACCCTCACCTGCCACAGTGCAGATGCAACTGTGCAATCTCAGACCTTGTCCTCGCTGCCAGCCTCCGCTCCTTGCTCCTGAAAACTCTGACTGATTTCCCGGCATTTTGAACCTTGGCTCTGTTTCTCGGCTTGCTTTTGGACTGTGTGTCCAGCTTTCAGTGAAGTGTATTCATGGCAACTCGCCAAGACCCAGCACAGCACCCCTGGGCTTCTCCTTTGCTCTTCCTCCCCAGCCTCCCTCATGCCTTCTGTTTAAATCTCCTGGGCGGAACCTCACCGAGCTCACCAATCCTAAACTACCCAGGGTGAGGCTCCACCCCCTTCCCCTACTTCAGCGTTGGTGTGGCTAGCTGGGGGGGGGGTCATTGATTCGCCGCCCCACATCACCTCCTTGCAGACGCATTGGGGGGGTGCTGTTGCGCATTTTCTCCTGCCCGCCACCGACCTCCCTCTCCTCCAAGCTCTGCAATGAACTCGGGAAGTTCTGGCTCATTCTACCACGGGACATCTTGGGTGTGGAGCGTGCTGTCACTGTCAACCACCTCCCCAGCAAGCTGGCTGTCTCCCCCCATTCTCCCGCCCCTTTCCTCGCTCCTGCTTCCTTGCTGGCATCCTGGATCCCCGGGCAGTATGCTGTGTGCATATTTGCCAGTCTTCAAATCCCAAAGTGCTAACATTTGCAACCAGAACGAATAAGTGAAATAATGCTGCGACATACATTACAATACCAGGCAGAGTTACAGCCTTCTAGTAAGCCATTGACTTGAGTGGTTTTAGAAGGGTGCAGCTCTGCACTATTATTCTGTTTATTGTTTACTCTTCTAAGTGCAGCTTCTGGTGGAAGTGGTTGATCACAAGATCCAGGCATTTTTAATGTAGCACTTTATAATAATTAGAACAGAAGGGTTTTTTGTTTCCTTGCTCCATGGTAGATTGCAGGCAGGAACAAAGTGAGCCATTGGTTTTTTTACTTTTGGCATGGGAGACCAGTAAAACGTTTTTGTCAGACACGTACTGGGAGGAATGGCTAAAACTAGAGGGTCCAGACTCAAGCCCTTTATGGTTCAGCTTTCACGGAAACTGACATTCCGTGAAAGATGTGTAGAAATGTGGAGCCTTCAAGAATAGGTGCCTAGTGCATAGGGACCAGAGAGTCACTAATTGAGTTTACCTCTTCAGAAGAAGGATCTGAGAAGTACAAGGTACAGGGATGCTCAGTGAACCGAGGTAAGGATACAGCCCAAACTATCCATATTTATGCCTTGGAAAGCATCACCACATGGCACATGTCAAAGCATGTGCATCTCAAAGCATGAGTCTCGGGAGTGCTTCTCTCTTCAAATTGGTATCATCTTCCTCTTAAGAGCATGTTGATTGTTCTAAGGAACTGCCTTGGCAACAAGCCCCACAGTGCATAGAATTATGTATGTATGTCATGATTATCTGACGTTTTTATGTGTCCTGGTGAGACAGCAGTAACCAAAAACAGACCCCCAGAGTTGTCTCACAGCCCTTTTTGCTAAATCATTCACTCGGGCCCAGTTCGCTGCAGTTCTTTGTTTCCAGTTATGTTATTATTTTTAGTTATGCCAGGCTTAGTATACGATTCATATGAAGAATACTGCATTCTGATTCACCTACCGATATTTTCTTTTATGTTAACCATGTCCTTACGTGATGCAATAGGATTGACATGGGTGAATCAGCTTTTTTGTGAGTAAAGCCCATTCAAAACGTTTGTGGGAGCTTGAGACAAGCCACTTTTATTGCTGTTCTTGTCCTTTTTGTGCCGTTTGTCTGGTGCAGGCCCTTGAAGCCATAGATAAAGCTCTACAGCTGAAACCAAAGGACCCCAAAGTCATATCTGAGCTCTTCTTCACAAAAGGAAACCAGCTAAGAGAACAGAATCATCTGGACAAGGCTTTCGAGGTAAAAAATAAATAAATTACAAACCTTATTTCTACTTTTTAACATATAGACCACTTAATTAAGCATATCACAGTACACTGGAGATCGCTTTGGGTGTATTCAAATTAACAGAAGAGACAGCTGAAAAATTGCACAGTAAAGGGCACCCCCCAAAGGAGAGGGCGGTATGGAAATTCAGTCTTCCTTCTCCAGTTGCATCTGACTTACTGTTATCTTTTTAGAGAAATAGATATAATTCATAGGCTATCTATGCCTTTGTACGCTTGTTTCCACAATACCCCCGGCAAAGCTCCAAGGCCTAAAATGTGGGTTGAATGTTCCATATCAAAATGATTTCTGGAGTTCTGATAGACACAGCTCTCATTGGATTATACTGTATTTGGGAGTGCCACTTGTAGAGTAGCTGGGGACCCAAAACGTCCTGCAGTCCAGCCTCTTATACGGAAGCAGAGCTCTTTGCAATTGTTGTATTAGCCTACATGGGAGACTTAAGAAGAAGAGAAGGAGAGATTGAATTTATACCCCGCCCTTTACTACTCGAAGGAGTCTCAGTGTGGTTTACAATCTCCTTTCCCTTCCCCTCCCCACAGCAGACACAGTAGGTGGGGCTGAGAGAGCTCTTTCGAGGACTGCCCTTGAGAGAACAGCTCCGAAACAATTTATGACTGACTCAAGGTCACACCAGCAGCAGCATGTGGAGGAGGAGTGGGGAATCAAACCCGGTTCTCCCAGATTAGAGTCCGCGCTCCTAACCAAACTGGCTCAGCTTCGTGTAATAGTTAGACAGAGGCCCGGCATGCTGTAATGCTCAGAGTGTTGGACCAGGATCTGGGAGACTCCAGTTCAGATCTCTCCCCTCTGCCATGGAAGCTCGCTTCGTGACCTAGGCCCAGTCTCGTTCTCTCTTAGCCTAACCTACCTCAAAGGGTGGTTGTAGTGTGGATACAAAATGGAGTGGGGGGGGAAAGTGTTGTAAGCGGCTTCGGAGAGAAAAGCAGGGATATAAATATCTAAACTATACTACAGAGTGACACAAGTTGGGGGGGTAGGTGGAAGGTTGCCAACAGGCCAGGAGAGAAAATGTGATTTAATAGAGCCTTGCTGTGTGAAAATGAGCATCACCTGGTAAATAACATCCCATTAATTCTTTGTCAGTGGGACAGGATTTCCCCCCCACCTCCAGGCACTTGGCAACCCTTGGCAGGAAGGGTAACCTATGACATAGATGCTCCCTCTAAGCTGTGGAGTCCTGTGAGCAAAAATTCTGCTTTGTGAGCTACGGGCATTAAAGTTGTGAGCTAGCGATTCGGCTGCTGCATAAATTAGTTTGCTCTGGAGCCATCCTTCCTGAGCTAAGGTAAGAATGTGTGGGCCGGAGGCTAAAGAACTGTGAGCTGGCTCACACTAACTCAGCTTAGAGGGAATACTGCCTATGACACAGATGCTTGTAGGAGAAAGAACAACTTTGGAACATGACTTTATTCATTGAGACCTATAAAGTGGCCCTAGACTTCCATGCAGACAAGCTGAGTGGATAGGAATACCCCCCCCCCCATGGTATAACTAAAGTAATCTCTAAGCGGACTTACCACAAAGTACCAAATAAGGAGACATAGAACATCCTGATGTCAGGATGTTGGTAAAGTTATAGCAGATGCGACTATGTAGTGGTGGTCTAGATACATGTGTGTTTTTTTTAATTTCGGCAGCAGCAGTGTGTTTTGTTGTAGGGTTTCCCCAAAAGCTTTGCTTGCCCGTGGGACCCCTAAATATTCCCCATCCTTCCGCATACTTTGTTTTCCTCCGCGCCTCCCCACACACCTGGCTTCACCACCACCTTTTGCAGGGAAGCAGCCTTTTAAAACCCTTGCGAAACAGGATCCTTCCATGGTGGGCCTGTAAAAAAATGATGTTGTTTCACAGGAAAACATTAATGGTTCTAAGGCGATTTCAGAGACACACGTCCGTAGCCTCATTAAGGTACCAACTCTCGGTAACAGGTCCTGTAACTTTTAAAATCTCTATTAATTTAGAGCTATAAAGTGGCCGTAGACTTCAACCCGGAGCAAGCACAAGCCTGGATGAACATGGGAGGGATTGAACATATCAAGGTAAGACGATGCACCGGCTCTACCTCCACCAGCTTCATTAGGAGAGAAGGAGCAGATCTCACCTCAGAGGCTTACAGGAAAAGCTGTAGGCGAAAACCACAGTGGCAACCATTGGCAGAAAGTTGGCTACTTCTAGAAAAAGGTCTTCTCCAGTACCTGCTACCTGAGTTCTTTTAGGCAGAGAGATTAGACCAGGGACCGTCCGCACACAGAGCCTATGCACTCTGCTGTGGAACCAACCTGCTATAACGGCATGAGGGGCTGTAGCACAATTTTATCTAATAGGCTGTGATGTTTCAGCAAACAGGCAGTGCCACTGGATCTTTGATTCTTCCCCCGCCATCTTATTTATTTTTGCAGGGCAACTACGTCACAGCACGCAGCTATTACAAGAAAGCTTTACTGCTGGTTCCCAATAGCAAACTGCTGAAAGAGAATTTGGCTAAACTGGACCGTTTAGAGAAACGGCTGCAGGAAGTTCACGAGAGAAGATAAATAGGGACACGGTGAACGTCCGCCTCCCGGAGACAAGAGAATGCTGCAGAAAGCCCTGGTTTTCCCGCCAGGTGGAAGCAGCCCAGAAGGAGGTGTGCTGGTCATTCAGGCCATAAATGGGTTGGCAGTCACCCTTGCGTCATCAGTGCTACACAATTCCTCATGTTCATCCAGTTCTGTGTTTTGGGTATGCTTTGTTCTACTTCCATTAAATGCTCAGCACAGGAGATGGATCGGTAATGTGCAGCTCCCACTCACAAAAAATACCGAGCCCTGGGATCGTGGTGGGAAGTAAGGCGATGGCCTGCTACAGCATGGACTGGGGATGAGGTCTGTGGAGTCCGTTATTAGGCTTTCTAAGAGGAATCCTTTACTGAGGGCGACTGAAAACAGGCCCGTCGGTCCATAACGTAGCGGCGGCAGCAAGCTAAGAAAACGTGGGAGGAAACTGCGATGGCTGCAGGGAGGAAGGTAGCAGCCCTCTTCAAGGCCCTCTCAGGGGTTCTGATGGTAAATCCTTGGACACAATCGACTTGTCATCCAAGGAAGAGGCTGGTGCGTCTGCTGTTTAGCTGAACGTTTTAATCCTTAAGAGAGATCTCAGAAGAGACTAGTCTCCTAAGAAATGTCATCTTTTTTTAATGGCAGTTTACAGTCAAAGATCTCACAACAGAAATTAGTTCTCCATCAGAAAAGTAGGCTTCTGTAGAGAGTTAAATGAATTGGGTAGGGCGGGGTGGGGCGGGGCGATCCGTTTCTAAAAACAGCCCAAACAGCTCACCTTGTCTTCGCGATATTAAAGGTTGCAGCTGCTTCTGGAAAATAATTTCAGTTGGTCAAAATATAACAGCTGGGATCCAGAGATGGCCTCCTACCCACCCACACCTGCATGCAAGCTGTTTCATGTGTGTGCACAAACACACACACACACCAGCCTCTTTTTAAAGCTGAAGAGCCTTGTGCTGCATCAGAGTCTGATTCTGGAGGTCTCCTGAGGGCAGTTGGGCCGTTGGCCTTGGCAGTTGGGGAAGGAGAGCCTCAGATTACCCACCCCGAGTGGGCCTTGGAACCTTGGCAGAGGTTGCAGAGATGTTTTAACTCTCTACAGAGGTTTTGGATTGGTCTGTTTGTGAGAAGCGGGGTGAGAAGTGGGAAACAGAGGGTTTTTTTTTGGGGGGGGAGCTATTTTTTCCATGTGGGCAATTCCACCTCTTTTGCTTGATTAAGAATATCAGAACATACATGCAGCAGAGGAGAGCTCACATCAGACAGGGTTGGGATGTTTTTATTCTGTGTGTGTGTGTGTGAGAAAGAGTTATTTATTTAACATAATAAAATATTATATATATAAATATATATATATATCAGTTAGCTCACTGTGTGCGTAAGAGCTGAGGTGACCTCTTTCACAAGCAGACCTGTAATGTAACTTGTGGCTGTCGCTCTTATTTTTGTGAAGCTAAAGAAGGTGGCGACCACAGAGGAGAGGAATGTATGTGAATGATGCTGTTGCTATTTCCGGAGCCCTTGGATGCCCTGGAGCTTGGAGTAGATTCATCTCCCCCGCCCCCGGTGACCCTTAGCACCCAGTTCTATTGATTCCTTGCTCAGGTGAGGATTCCACGTGCCCATTTAGAAGCGTAGCTGTTAGACGTGTGGGTGGGGCTCATGATGACGAGAGGAAGAGGTTCCTCCTCACAAAGCCATTGGACGTTGGGTGATGCGAACGGGACTGCCGAGTCTCCGAGCAAAGGGATGCCCAGCCAGGGCTGCAGTAAGCATGCCGAGGAAACAGGCAGCAATTCTCTATAACCCAACTCATCCCTACCTCTTACCCAAAAATTGGTCCCACAGAGCACTGCTTGTGCTACATCTTACATTCCCTATCGAATGGGGGAATGTGGATGACGGTATACTAATTTGAAAACACTTGTCTCACACTCTCTCAATAAACTATTCTCAAAGTGGCTTAGGACGAATAATAACCATAAGGAAAAGCCATACAGATATCAGCACCCTAAATATGCGTATCTTGGAGCCGGAGTCAAAACCATTAAAAACAGCTAATCAAGTGGCGAGCCTATCGTTACGTTGATCTTGCAGTCAAGAAAATTTTGCTGCCATCCCAGACTTGATCAGACATCTGGGGAGGCCTGGGAGCAGTAAATGCTTCTCAGTGCTTGATGGAATAATACGTACTGCCATTTGGTAATCAGCTGTCCGTACTTGTGCACTTTACCTCTAAAATAGCAGTTTGGGGGAACGTAAATTGAAAAACGCCAGACCATTTGTTTTTAAGTAGTAAAAATGCTGACCTTTGGATCCTTCATGAGAACGCTAACATTACCTTGAGTGGCCTTAATAGCTGGGAGCCAATGGCTGCAATCCAAACAGTATTTTCCTGGAAGTAAACCTCATTTAATGAAATGGGACTTACTTCTGAATAGATCTGCTTAGCGTTTCTCTCAGTGTAACCCAGTGGACTTAGAGCTGGGAAAATCTGTTCTTGGATAAATCTGTGAAATGGTGTTGTAGTTGTTTCTTTCATAGCTCTTGCTCAAGAAAATGCAGCAAGATTATAAACCGTTTCACAAACTTAAGATGTTATATAGAATGAAAGGTGATCGAGCACCAACAAAAGCCAAACAGGTATAAATACTTCATGGGAACTAGCCCTTCTTAGCCATTACCCAAGGATGTGCTAACTCACAGGTCCCCAGCAGGGTGCCATCGCGCCCACTGACGCCTTTTCTGGTGCCCACCAAGTGCTTCTAGAAAGTGGATGGAGCCAGGTGGGGCTTTTCCCCAGCAGGACTTCTGATTGTCTGAGTAGATTAAAAGGCATCCTGTTAGACGGAGCTTCGGCCTGAAACGTTGAAGAGTTACTATTAGAGTTATGGATAACCTGGCTTTTTGTGGTTGGCTCCGCCTCCTCCAGCAGCCATTGGGTGGTTACACCCACCAATTTGTACCAGAATTCCACAGGCTGAAGAATGTTGGGCACCCCCGTCCTAACTCCTTAGATGAGTTTGGATGAGTTAATTGCAGAAATCTAAATAAAACCAGTGGGCAATTGTTGGCCTTGATCTAGCATAGAGTTAATCAGCTTTGTGGCTAAGGTCTACTGTCTCATCTGCATTTCTTTGAAAATATTAAGCAATTTTTTTTTTGCAAAGTGAATATAATCCTTCCTGGTAAACCTCCCCACCCAGCAAACCCGTGGCTTAGTCCACAGCGGGAAGTTCTTTGCACTGCAACGAAAGCCCCCTGATGGTTTCTGCACATAAAAGAGACAGATTTTACATGTGCCACGTAAAGCGCATGGAGTGTCTCTCCCATTGCGAGTGTGCTCTCCCCACGCCTGCAACCTCTGCAGTTTCACTGGAGAGGGGGGAAGCAGAGGAGGTAGGGGTGGGAGAGGCTCACGAGAAGGATATCTGTCGGATTGCCTCTTAGCCCCATTGCTAGGCAATACAGATAGTCATGCTGGGGGGGGGGGGCTGGAAGGTGTTCTCCTGCCCTAGTTTTAGGAGTCAGAGTGGGGTTTAAAATGGGAAAAGCATAATGTGAATTCAAAGTAAGTGAAGGAGTGATAAATTCGTGACCATCAATTAGTCGTTGACCATCAGTGCATGTGATGTCACCCTTAGTCATAGGCTAAGTCCCACTGAAAACAACGTAACAAACTGGCTATTGCTAACTTGTCTCGTTTTCAATGGGAGTTACAGTACAATAAGCTTAGAAAGATGTAACTCTGCTTAGGATGGCCCAGTTAGTGCTTAACTTCAGCCCCCTCTGGACCACAGTCTTTGGGCCACTGGAGTGCCTCAAATAGACAATCTGACGTTATTGCCCGGGGGTGGGAGAAACGTATCGGAAACGAGATTTGTACAACTAGCTGATTGTTAACTGTATATCATTCTGTATCCCAGGTGCATGTACCCAGAATGTGGACGCTGAATTCGTGTTTAAATTTTATAAGTTAAAAGAAGTGTTACTTTCTTAAAAGAATGGTTTCTGTCTTCTCCAACTGAGTGGTTATGACAATAAGTGTTGATCAAAGATATCTTGTCTTGGTAATGGTTATGGTTTTTTCCTAACAAGAAACAGTGGTATTGGTAATTTTCACATGTTAATTTATCCAAATGTAGACATAATTGGAGATATACCTTTGCCATGGCATGGAGTCCAGGGGATAAGGTGCTGGGAAACTGGAATGCCAGTATATCATGAACCAGACTGGCTCAAAAACCACTGACATTGGAGTCCTAGAATGTGGAAAAAGGGGGTGGGGATAGGGCATTAAAACAGATATGGAACATGCTAGGCTGAGTGGCCCCACAAGGCCCTTAAGTGCAGCAACCTACCAGTTACTTTTGCAGTAAGCTGAAGAACCAGTCAATCCATACACACTACCAGAAATGCATTTTGGCTGACATCTGAAGAGGATTTTCCTGGGAGTAAGCCCCATTGAATAAAATGAGACTTGCTCCCAAGTAGACCTGCTCAGTATTGTTCCTTTTTGATGCACTGTTTTTAAAGAAGACGACAATGACCCCTTTGTGCACTAGACCTGAAATGGCATTAAACTAAGATACCCGTCACTCATCATGATTGAGTGGGATTCATTTGTGGACATTCTCTATCAGCCCCTCTATTGCTGTTTTTCACATGATTAAAATTGCCCCCAAATTAGACTAACAGGAGCCCATTTTCAAACCATGTGTAGTTTCCAAATGCGCAGCACCCTTAATTGCACCCTAAGATTGCGACTGAGAGGAGACAAAAGTGGGCATCTTCTCCTCATCCCTCCAATCTGGAACAAACTCCTTTTGCATCTGTTATTCAGCCACCATGACGACATGCCCCAGCTCGTCAAGTGCACACAGCTGGAATCTAATCCATGAGCCAGTTTTGGCTATGCAAAATGACCCAGAATGTGGAATACCGCCAGAGAAAGGAGACAGTATTACGCTTCTTGTCCATTTTCCTCTCCTGCAGTTCATG